ACATAAAAAAATTGCAACAAATTGTAACATTTTTTTTAAATAAGAATCAGACTCTATAAAGTTTACATTTGTTTCTATCAATGTATACTGATATATACTAATAATATATTATTTTATGTCATCCGCCTAATAAGATTATCCTTTATATTTCGCATTATTTTATTTCCAGGAAACAAAATGGCTAACTTCAAAGAAAACGATCAGTTTAGCTTCTACATAGCTCATCGTTATCCTCCGCAAACGCAATAGACACTGTGTTTGACATTACCAGAATGATAATCACAATCAAACGCAGCTTTGATGTAGATAGGATGACAAATAGCGTAACCTAAATTCACGTACATACATTTCAAAGCGTGAAACACAACCTAAATTCGTTCGTAGGTAAATTCGTTTCGTTTTCGAGCATCAAGTTCGTTATTAAGTATACAAAGTTGATAAATGCGTTTTTCCCACTGGCAAAATTAGCTAGACGATGACAAATTACTTTCTTCCTCAGTGAGGGTACACTGAACGGGATATACTATCGCGATAGCAACACTCTCTGGGTAGAAGTATACTCGATACTCGTACGTGAAAAGATACGTGTGTTCGAAAGCAGTTCACTTGAAGCACGGCCATTTGGAACTTGTTCGTGGCGTAAAAGGAAAGCACTTCCGGGGAAGGAGTCAATCCGGAAACGCGCTAAAAGCCTGCTTGGAAATTGAAGTGCGGCATTCCTTTAAAATCTTCTCTATGATTACGCTATTCCCGCGCGTTCAATAGCGACGCTACTCGTCGAATAAATTTGAGGAACTCCAAATTATTATTCCCTCGTATCCCCTCTGCCTGTTTTCGATAAACAGCTGCGTTAAAATTAAATCAAAGAAATTCGAATGAATTATTAATTACGTGTAAAGTGATACTTCTGTGATTAGATAGACATTTGTTCCATCCGATTACGCGCAAAACAATGTACGTTAAATAAATAAAATTTGTGATTCTACCAGCTAGAATAAATGTCGTGGTATATTAAAAAATGTTGAACTACTTCAAGAAAAACTCTACATCTTTATTTATGTATATCCGTGACCCGGAGACTGCTATTACGCAGAAATATTCTAAATAAGGAAAGGTGCATATACCCTTGAGTATACATTATGTTTTGGGTTGCAAGACCTAAGAACAAAGGAACTAATAAAGAGATTTCTATTTATGTACTCTGTAGCCTCTAGCCAAAGCTATAAGCTTAACCCTTTTGGCAATGTCCTTTTGCTATAAATATATGAACCTGCTCCCTATCTTTCCATTGTCCAGTAACACTAAGAGTGTAAGCATCTGAATCAGCACAAACTTATACTTTTAATTATTTCAATATACTTTTCTATTACAAATTCATCCACTCCTTCCTCAATCAATCAATTTCAACCTCAACAAAAAGAATGATAGGGCAATAATAATAATAATCTATCCAACACCGTGGTTTCCAAATATAACAATGATTATACTATGTACTGCAGGACGCATCATTCGCGCGGCTTCTTTCCTAAATTCGTACGAATCACTTCCGTAGCCTTGCCACCCTCGTATTTACGGTATCGAAACGACATAGGGGAGTGAGACTTGCTCGAGGGGGTGGCTCGATTGATCCCGTAGGATGAACAAAGTGGAAGTCGTCGCTTAAAGGTACCCTTCAAGAAAATCCCCATGGAGGAAGCGACCATACGCGAGAAAGGGAGCGATGGAGACAATTTTCGCGCGATTCATTCCTTCCCTTGACGAATCCACGGCTTCTCCAGCCCCTCTTGCCGCTTGTAAGAGGAAGAACGCCAGCAGAGGCTCTCTTTATTCCTCCAGCAGCAACGGTGAAATCTCGAGCGCCCCCTCGACGCGCCCTGACCACTCGATAATGAGCAATTCGCTCTCCATTTCCCAGCCTTTTGTGCCGCCCTTGGTTGACGCGTGCCGCGTGTCCACACCCCTCCTGTGACGCTCTGACGCTCCTCCTGGAACCGCCGTATGTTCGTTAGCCCGCTTCGTTTCGTTTCATTTGGGGCGACGCTGCCTGAATTTCGGCGGATCAGCGGGAATCCCCGGTGGATGCATACTGGCAGAGGTTATATTCTGGCAGATTTTTGGTAGAAACGAGACTTCCTCAGGGTTAAAGAGAATTGGGTTTCTTTGTCTGTCTTCCGTTTTATTCAGATGGTAGGAAGGAACCGAAGGATTTGTAGATTTTCTCTGAAACGAGGCTTTCTCAATTTTGGCAAATTGTTGGGAATCCCCGGTGTCCTACGAAATTTTTGGTAGGAGCAAGAGTTTCTGGGAGTTGGGGTGACTTACATCCTTCTTCTCCTTTACATCTGTTTACGGCTGAAGCGACGAATTTTTTTAAGTGTAAAATTTTGTTTAATCTGAATTTTGGTAGATTGACGGGAATCGCCTTGTAAGATCGGAAACCGTTTCTACGAAGCTTTTAGTAGAACTGGATATTACGCGTGTTCTGGTTTTGGAGATTACACAGAGTTAGGCATTTTTTGTATTTCAAGATCAAATTGGGAAAGGTGTAGAGTTTCGCTACAGACGATACTATCTAAACCTCGGTAAATCAACGAGAATCCCATTAGATGGATAGCGTTAAAGTTTTATCCTGGTAAGATAAAAGCTTCTAGGGATTAATGATACTTTTTCTTAGTGACGGCAGCCACGTAAATATTTTCTTCCCCTCTGAAGTATAACGAAGGAAGTTTATAAAATGAAGGTAAACATCCAAGCCTTAAAACGTAAAGCAAAATAAATTGTATGATTGAGTGACATATAGGCATCCAAGAAACTTATTTGAATATTCTGTTTCTTGTGACACATTCTACTTTCCCTTGATACAGATTTCATAAATCTACTAAACAATTCAAGAGAAAACAGCGTGTTCAAGTATTTAGGCCCGTTTCTAAGTAAATTGTCCCGATAAAAATCAATGAAAGACTCATCACTGACAGACATAAAATAAAGCAAGTTCTGAAAAGAACGTCATTTCTCTACCTTCTGTTTAATCTACGTACATCAATCTAACTTTTAAAGATCACAAATCTTCTTTCAACATTCGTCGTACGAATTTTACATTCGAGCAACGACAATTAAATAGTCTTTATTTTATTTGGTCCTCCCGTTTCTATTAGCTGTCAATCATAATCGATGTTACACACTTCAGAGTTGATCGAGGACAGTCGACGAGACACTCGAGGACGAAGCCACTGCGACTCGCCCTTTAAATAATCGACAAACCTGTCCCTTCAATAATCAATGCCGCCCTCACGGTGGTTACGTTCACAGAAAATGTTCAACGAGACCGAATTAACTCCGATGTGCTAAAAGTGTCAGTGTGAAATCGTAATGGCTTGTTTTCAATTGGCGAACTTGAACTAAGGATACTCGACGAGTTGCATCGTGAATTACTAAAATATCATAAATATTTCACGATTACTTACACATAATAAAGTAACGTTAATCGATCGACGTTTATTAGTTGAACTGACTGTAATAAAATTGTTGTACATGTTGTACAGTGATGATTGCAATTTCTAATATTTATTTTTATTCGAACTTAAATTCTAATATAATCATAGTCGAAGAGTTGGAGTGATAAATTACGTAACTGTCAGAAGTAGAAATTTTCCACACGAACGAAAGACATATACAATTAACTGTGGCGCGTGTTCAACGTGTCAATAGATTGAAATTGATAATAACTAAAAATATTGAAAATAAGGTGTTTATTATAACGTTTAGACGATCGCAATTTCGATTCCATTTTTTCATTTGTATTCATAAAAATTTGAACTTACATAAATATCTGTCCAAGCGTAATTAGAAATGACAGAAAAGTTGAAAATTATGCAGCGAACGATTGAACTGGTTTCAAGATAATTCGCTTCTGGTAAAAATCGAGTTTCTTGTTCGTTTCTTTTGCACGCGCGCATACATCCATACCGACGAGACTTTTTAACGAGAAAATTCGTTTGCTGCGAGGCTGAAAAGGCCTGTGCGCGCAATTATCGAGAGCAGTTCGAATCCTTTTCATCACGAACACCCGTGTTAACCAATTACCTCGACCTTGACCCAGGCTTAGGGTAGTGGCACTCGAATTGGACGCGGAGTGGCGTTCTTCAATTTTTCACGCTACTCCTCGCGAATTTTGTTCGCCATCTAACCTGAAATCCGCTTCGCGCTTAAACCTCGGAATGTAAGTCGCTGATTTTTTTCATAAGACTTCTCATCCTCGTGGTTTTCAGATTTATTTCAGATACTTGTACATATTTCCAGCCGAGGAACGATAATTATGTAGAACTTAAATGGCAAAAGAGTTTTAAACAGAAATCATTTCTTTAATACAAAAAGATTATAAATTTCATCAGCAAGATTTTCTGTGCCTATCTATGTGAATAATCGTTATGTGTCTGCACCTTGTGCATTCTTTTCGCATTTAAATTGCCGATAAAATTGCCCAGCCTAATTGCAACATAGATTTAAAATGAGAACTGCGGGGAAACGAATAGTTTCCATCTTACTGCATGAAAACAGTTTTAACATTCTCGTGTTATCAGAACCGTCCTTTTATTTCATTTTAGGGCCAAACGTGTATTTTTCCATCCAACTTGTGGCTTAACAAATATTACATACCGTGATATCGAAATATCCTTCGTCTTAATAATCTATCTGTCATCTAATAATATCTGTTCCTACAAAATGACAACTACACTTTCAGACTTCAGCGTGTGGAGACAGGTTTTCTCTCTTCTTTAGCAATTTTATAATTCGAGTAAACAAAACCTGTTCTTTTCCTGTCATAGTTTGTCAAAAATCTCTGTAACGCTAATAGAAATAATGATACACCAGACTACATAATACGAAATTGGAGTTTCGTATCACGTAGCAGTGTTGACTCGCCGTGAGCGGAGGAGAGGCCAATTAATACGCGTGAGTAACCTGTTTTACAGGGACTTAACACCTGTTCCGAATTACAGTGGCGCGTAAGGAAGAGGATTCGTGACAGGAAGGGAATGAAGGGTCCCATCAGGCACGTGCCAAGGAGAAAAAAGTACTCGAGAGGTAACGGTGCGTAAAGCTGGATCCCCTGGCACTCGTGATCACGGATTACATTAGATCGTCGATCAAAATAATGATAGTTCCCGAGACTCTCGAGAAACCCTCGAAAAAAAAAACTTTATTCTGCGTAATTTCTCCTCAGACATTTTATAAGCACCTATTATATCTACTGTTTGCAAGACGCTGTAAAAGTGTAATGAAATAATTTCCTTAGCAGTATAACTCGTAAAAGTATGATAATAGAACTTTCTTTTGATGTCTTTTTCTTCTCGTTTTTTCAAATAATTTAAACGATAGTCAGCTGTAATTAATTTGTCTGTATTAACATTTTTTTAAGAGGCAAAATCGTGACATAAAAATATGTTATACATAAAAGATTATACTTATAGTTACTACTACTTCTACTTATAGTTATAAGTAAAAAGATATAATAAAAATGAATATACAGGGTGGTTGGTAACTGGTGGTACAAGCAGAAAGGGGGTGATTCTACGCGAAAAAAGAAGTCGAAAATATAGAATACAAATTTTTTTTTAATTCTTTCTTTTTCTTTAAAAAATGTCTCCATCGAGGCAACGATCCACAGTGAGATCCGTTATAACGTACCGCACGCGTACCGAACGAAAATGCAAAGTCGATTTTCTCGAAAACAAAGCCTCGAACGAAAAATTTTTATTCTATATTTTCGACTTCTTTTTTCGCGTAGAATCACCCCCTTTCTGCTTGTACCACCAGTTACCAACCACCCTGTATATTCATTTTTATTATATCTTTTTACTTATAACTATAAGTAGAAGTAGTAGTAACTATAAGTATAATCTTTTATGTATAACATATTTTTATGTCACGATTTTGCCTCTTAAAAAAATGTTAATACAGACAAATTAATTACAGCTGACTATCGTTTAAATTATTTGAAAAAACGAGAAGAAAAAGACATCAAAAGAAAGTTCTATTATCATACTTTTACGAGTTATACTGCTAAGGAAATTATTTCATTACACTTTTACAGCGTCTTGCAAACAGTAGATATAATAGGTGCTTATAAAATGTCTGAGGAGAAATTACGCAGAATAAAGTTTTTTTTTTCGAGGGTTTCTCGAGAGTCTCGGGAACTATCATTATTTTGATCGACGATCTAATGTAATCCGTGATCACGAGTGCCAGGGGATCCAGCTTTACGCACCGTTACCTCTCGAGTACTTTTTTCTCCTTGGCACGTGCCTGATGGGACCCTTCATTCCCTTCCTGTCACGAATCCTCTTCCTTACGCGCCACTGTAATTCGGAACAGGTGTTAAGTCCCTGTAAAACAGGTTACTCACGCGTATTAATTGGCCTCTCCTCCGCTCACGGCGAGTCAACACTGCTACGTGATACGAAACTCCAATTATATATATATATATATCTGTATCGATAAAATTCAACGTTAATTTGGTAAAAATCCCTTCATATTTTTAACAATTACAAGGATTGATTCTGACTGAATCATTCTGACTGGTTTGGTCGTTCCAAGTGCAGTATTTAGAGACGAAACGAAGGGGTAACGAAAGAATCGATATAGTTGATGTGAACGTAGTTATCCGTAAGTTTTAGTTTCGTTTATGTTCATAGATATGTAAAACCAAGTCCAATTCCTGGACCATTTGACTGAAATAAATAAATATATATACATCGTCATATCATGTATTATACAAAGACTAAAGTCGGCTTAACTACAATTAATTAGTGCACGAACTATTAATTCTATATTATAGAAATTTTTAGTTAATAAATGGCCCGTTAAACGTATTCGAGAGTCTTACAACCGAAACTTCGCACACTGAGCGACGCAAGGCGTCAACGCGTTTGACAATCGGTCGTCGCTCGAACAATCCAAAAATCAATCGACAGTGTACAGTGACTGAAAACCAACTGGACGCTTATGTACATGTTTGTATGCGGCTGCGTACGTGTGATTCAACGCGTCGAGGAAGGGTGCGCCATGTTGTCTGGCCGCCCCGCATTGCGCCAGTGAACTCGGCAAAATCCGGACACAACCCGGCCGCCCGTATCTTTCACTCGCTGAAATACCCTTTCACAGATCTATTATCTCTTCTATACTTCATGCAAGAAATATAGCAAGCTGTTCTAGGCGCGTTCGAATGGCATAGAAAACGATACCGTGTGAGCCATACGATAAATGCATAGCCATTCTTCATGGGATGAATCTGCACACTGAAAATAAGCAGAAAACGTCCAACGAATATACGTCCTGCGTACCTTAATTTTCCTGTTACGGATGCGTAAAGAAAAAGCGTTTCAAGTTTCCGCCCCGTTTCCTTTTTGCAGTAAGAACATCCCTTAACAGGAAGAGATGGGACTATTGCATTGGCTATCATGATCCAAATCTATTAGGTCTTTATTTTTGGGTCATTTAACATCCACAATATGTTTAACGTAAGTGAACAGTGTACACGATCTATGAGAAGGGATACAAAATTGACATTAGGCATCGAAGAATACCTGGTACTTTCGAACGAGTATGAAACTCAATGTTCAGACACGAGGCGGTCACTTGGGACATTTTCTTTAATCATTCGTAATTCGAAAACTAATTTATGTAGGACATATATCTGTCAGGTATATTTTACTTATTCAGATATCATGAAAAACTAAAATTCCCTTTACATTATATATTTTAACCTCTGCATCGTGAATATTGTTATTTTATCGAATATATGTGGTTCTATCCTACTGACTATTTTGCTGGCCATTGTAGAAAGATGAATGCAACAAAAATTTATCATATCCTCGGGGGTAACAGGGAAAAACGAAAAATTCCCTATTACGGGCGATTTTACGTTACATCATCCATCAATGTCGCAATGTACCTCGTTCCTTTGCCGCAATTACGATTCTTCCGTTGCGGATGCAGCCTCCTCCAGGACTCGTCCTCGTTTCCGCACTATCAACCTACTTCCTCGAGCGATGCAGGTTGAACGCGACCGATCGTTGTCGGATTTTAGGGCATCTTCTCTTGAAAAACGGCGTCGAAAACAATTTTGCCGGATTAGTCGTGCGATTGTTGCGGCTGCAGCTGTTCCAACCAGACTGAAACTGTTTCCGTGGCACTGGTCACGGTTACGCCAATGGAATTCTCTTTTTGTCCTCGTTGTAACAGTCGATAGCGAGGATAATTGATCGAGGACAAATTTACATCCTTATACGTGTATTTATTTCTCTTTCATCTTGGCTTCTTACTCTTCTTCTCTTCGAAACATTAAATCAACGACATTCGCAGTTTTATCGGTTTACTATCATCGTCAAGTTAACTTATCACCTTCTTATTTAATTTGCGATCGCGTGTAACACAATGGATTAGAGAATCTATAAACGAACGACGAGTGGATACTTGTGAATAAATATTTGCGAACAAAATTAGCAACTTGTGACGAAGAAGCCTGCAAAATATATAAAAAGCCTGGCCGTCGGAGAATACTTTCAGAGAATTGTAGAAGTAATATAATAAAGAGAAAATAATAAATCTTATGTAAGCACGATGAATCTTGGCTCTAAAAAGGACCCAGACAAAATATATACATAGGATACAAGTTACACACGTGGTATGTATTGTTGATGCTCTGCTGATTTAAATAGAAATGATTATTCTACCGACCTTGCAAAATAATATTTCACCTCTAGCACCCGCTTTAAAAGCTTTTATTTATAGAAGTACTCGTGCACCCTGATTTAAGGACTAACATGGTCAAATTATGGTAGCCGAAAATTTTATTTACCATAGCTTCCAGCAAGACATAAGAGTGTTGCTCGTAATTAGAGTTCTAACGAGGCAGAAATGTTAGTTCCTGTTATATTTAGCGGTAAACGGATGGGGAGAAGTTGTCATATGGAGAATGTATGGGGCGCCAGGTGTTGCTACGCGATCTCCTTTTGCAACACCTGCCTCGCGGGAGGTATTACCTACGGAATTCACATAAATTAGACGTTTCCGCTAACCAACAAACAAACAAACCTAACCCTGTCGCAAATATTTTGTGTCTCAATGATAATTTCCTAATTATTCCACAATCTTTTCGTATTTCTCTCGCACCGAAGGAATAATTTTCTAAAGAAGAAAATAAAACTCGAAATTGGCCGAAGCAGAGCAGTAGATTGGCATATTTTCCAAAGCCAACCTGGAACTTCCCTTTTCACCTAAAGAAAAACACGAAAACAAATTAGATTCGGATATTCGAACGAATGTCCTCGGCATCTGTCAACAATTTACTCGAAACAAGATAAATTCGGCTATTTTAAGGAACCCCGCGGTACAACTTCCAGACACCCCATAAGAATCCCGAGAAAAACAGTTTAAAGTATGTAGACCGAAAACGCCGACAAGGACGAGGATTGAGTTCAATTTATCAAACGCATATATAGCAAGCCCTCAAGCCTAAAAGCAACAATCGGCGAAAAGAGAGTTTCGACTAAGCGAAGAGAAACTGGGAGCCAAAAATAATGTTCCCTCGAATTTATTCGATGCCATCGTCTCTTTTTTCTTCTTCTATCTCTTTCTGTTGAAAGTTTTCTCTTCTTTCGTGATGGCAAATGGCCGCGAGTGCCGCGGGGAAAAGAAGAAGGAAAGAACAGAGGAACAAGGCGAACGACAACCAACGACTACGACGAAAGTCAAGAACGTGAAGTGCCTACGAATGTGGAGAAGGCAAATTGAAGTAGGTCATAGCTTCTAGATTCTCTTTGCAGGCCGGAATAATCCTTACCTTCCCTCTTTCCTCGAATCGTACGGCCAACACGGTAATCCCCCGGGAGCACACGGTAGAAACGGAGCTTGAATTCATTATTTCCCGTTTCCACGGCCCCCGTAATTGCATTCGCTTTCGTTCGACCGTAATTTGCCTAGCGGCCATCTTCCTTCGTACCGACCTCTCTCCCCTTTCACCACGCATCAGCTGAGAGTCTGTGTGCTTTCGTTTCTTTTAGATTTGTGGATGATTCCAGCAAATGTTAGATGCAAATTGTTATGTTAAAGAAACGACGAAATTGGCAGTATTCTTTAAATCTTCTTCTTCGAATCTATACCGTCAGTGAGTTCTTGAAATATTAGAACAGGATAACGTTTTTTATTTATATAGAATTTAAGGAAATAATAAAACGGTAAATCAAAGCGTAAGGAAGAAGCCAAAGTAACAAAGTAACGAGAGTG